CTACCACCTCTACTACTACTGCTAGTAGTTCTACTACTGCTACTACTGCTAGTAGGTCTACTACTGCTACCAGTACTTGTATTATTACGATCAAAGTTGTCAGTGCCACAGCCACTGCCACTACTAGCACGACGACAACAACAACTACTACAGTTACTTTTGCCGTTACTGCTACGACTGCTACTGCCGTTGCTTCTGCTACTATTGCTGCTACTGATACTGCTGCTACTGACTACTGCTGCTACTACTGCTACTACTGCTACTACTGCGACTACTGCTACTACTTTCACTTCTGCTGCTTCTTTATCCACCACCACTAGCAGCAGCAGCAGTAAGAGCTATGATGCGAATAATGCCAATCGCGATGATCATTATGGTGACGGTGACGGCGTGGATGATGATGATAATGCTGAGGAGGGTACTGATGACGATGCTGCTGCTGCTGCTGCTGATGATGATGATGATGATCATACTCTCCTGCCTCGCCAATTTGAGGCTTGGTCCGAAGTGCCTGATGAGCCTCTGCCGTTGCCGCAGATCGCCGGTCGAGTGGGACAGGGCGACCTCGGGGGCACCCGGTCGGAAAATAAACGGGCTCAGCAGTTTAGATTCTCAAGAAGGCACATTGTGCAGGACTTGGCGCCCTGCTTTAACTTTCAAAGGTGGGGTCATGTTTAGATTCTGCGGGGCTTGACTTCCGCACGGTGCCCTGCACTGACGATGCACATCCAGCACAAGCTTCGGGCATTTGCCTGAGGTGACGTGTCGTGCATCGCACCGGCCGCTTCACAGGGCAAGCTGCTCCAGGCGGGGATGGCAGGGATGGGTACGGCAAAGGGGAGAGACGCTGGTGGCTTCTCCCCTTCACCAGGCCATGCCACGATTCATGCAGACGATGTCGCAGGAGGACGGGCCCCGCGACTGCAATGGCAGGAGGGACGCGTAGTGGCAGTGGAAGGAGAGACGGAGAGCCGGAGAGCCTATTCGGCCTTGTTGGAGTCCAAGGCCGGACATTCCGATTATTCTGCCGATGGAAAGCAGCGGACAACACTGCCTGGACGTGCTGACCTGCCTCTGCGCAATCATGGCCGTGCTCTGCTTCTGCGGCATCATCGTCTGTGTGGTGCCTCGGCCCTGACTCTTCTGCTTTGACCTGCTGTATCAGTCTGCAGTCCGGACAAGTCCGGACATTTCGCATAATTTTGCTGTCTTTTGCCCCAAGGTGATGTTAGTTTTTAATGAGACGATGCCATTTATGTGTCCTTCTCACCACGTCCGCGACTTGGGGTTTTGAGTGTGTGTGTGTGTGGCTGGACCGAGCCGAGATTCTTTCTGCCCTTTTCAGCGCTTCCCTGAGGTTGCTTGCCAGGCTTTGGAGCACTCGGCAAATCCCCGCTTCCGAGCGACGGCGCCTTGGAGCCGTGTAGATGGAGTCTGCTGTCCCGTGTGGGAACTGCTATCCTCGCAAAGGGACCCATTTACCTGACTGTTTTGGGCAGGTTCTGGCGGTGTTCACCCTCATGGTGGTCTGCCTTCCTCTGGCCTTGGCTTCGTGCCAGGGCCAGTGCATATGCCTGCGTCTCAGTTGCCTCTCTTAGGTTTTGGCGCTGTCTGGGTTCGAAGCTAATCGTGTTTATCAGGAGGCGGAATACTTCTGTGAGGTATTGTCTGGTGTTGCGGCAGTGCAGTGCAGATAAACCATCGGCAGCGCAGCCTGATTGCTTCGTTTTCTGCTGCAGGCTTGCGGGTGTTCTTGCGAGACGATGGGCTCGTTTCCCAAATCAAGCGCTGTCGTGATGCCTGCTTCAAGCGTCCGGGGCCTTAATGCACGGATGTTTCCGTTGCGAGAACCTCAACTTTGCACCTTGGCCAGCCCCCCGCCCGATGAAGATGCTTAGGTCTTCTGGCGGCGCCGGCGGAGATCGCCAGGCATCGAAACTCCCGCAAGCGACATTGGTGCAATGTGCGCGGTCTTTGGTTCAGGAGGGTGCGCTCTCTTCGCTCCAAGAAGCACGCTTCACACGGCCGGGACGGCCGTGTGCACCCGAGCCAGGAGGGGCCAAGGCAAGAGCAGAGCTTTGGCGGCGAAGCTCTGTGCTCTCTGAACTCTGAACTGCCTACGTCCGGGAGGCAGCTTCCGACGGTCTGCTTCGGTGCTCATGGTGTTCAGGAGCTGGGGGAGAGGTGGAAGTCCTGCCGGGGGAGCTCATGCCGTTGGGTAGTCTGTGGGTTTGCCTTGTAGGACTTTAGCAACTTGGCCATCGTTCCCGCTCCACAGCTGGCCCACACCGGCTCAAGAGCCAAGCAAATGCTAGAAGGCCGGAACAGCTTACTGCGGTAGCATTTTCAACTGCCGAGGTTGACTTGAGGCAACACCTGTTCCAGTGTGAATGGCCGGAGTTGCACATCTTCGCAAATTTCAATCTTGTCCTGCCCTAGCCTTCACAGGCTTCCCGAAACGCTGGCGCCAGATTACGACATTGCCTTTCCGCGAGCTGATCGAACTCAGCCCTTCAGAGGGTGAGGGTGCCGAAGTTGCGGCCCGGCTGGCACCCGAGAGTCAGAGGAGGGCTGTCCGCGACTCCATGAGTCCGTGCCACTCCTAAGGCAGCCCTAGTTCTGAGTGACAGAACGTGGCACCGACCCCCACGTTGCGAGCAGGATTTTTGGTAGCATTCAGCCCATGGCTGCTGTGGCTATCGCTGCAGCCGGGTGCCTGCAGGTGCTCCGCATTGAGAACTCCAATGCCTGGGCAGCCTACACTGCCCGGAAAACTCAGCTCCTCTCCAGACGTAACTGGTCTGGTGAGGCACATGCGGTATCTTTCCTGAAATCTGTCGACTCCATCTCTTGGAAAACCAGGAGGATCTGCCACTGGCTTCTCCCGGCCGCCTGGATTTCTGCACAGACGAGCTGGACATCCGCTCCTGGGATGAATGTCATGCAGGCTGCGAGTCATGGAGTGCACTGGGTTCTCTCTGAACCGAGGGCTCAACGAGCAGTTCCTTCTTTGCGGCACGACTGTCGAGCTTGCGGAGTATGCGCAAGCCACCGGGGAGGCCGTCCTCCTGTCCTTCCTTATCGATTTGGCCTGACAACGAGAACAATCAAGACCCCGACTCAACTAGCACGGGAGTAGACCAGGGTTTGCAGGGTACTTCAAGATCCATGAAAAGCTCCGCGAAAGCCTTTGCACCCTAAACCTCTCAAGGGGCCTTCCTTTCGAACCCCGCCATGTTCACCGTCCTCGCTTCCAGTTCTGGCACTCCCCGCACACCCCTCCCTGCGCAGAAAGCCGTCTTTGCTTGCCGGGTGTTCTCATAACCGGCCGACAAACGAATGGAGAGTACTACTGTCGAGCCTGCTTTGCACCTGGACGATTCGTCGTCACGATTCGTGCGAATCTGGCTCTCAGTGACGGGTTGCCCTCGCCAGCACGAAGCCGGTTCGCTCCGCGTTTGTGCGCCGGTTTTGTCAGGAAGCCCGCAAGGCGGCCACAAGCCACCCGAACCGCCGGTTGTGTAGTTCAGTTCCCTCGCACCTGTCTAGTCAAGGCGAGGCGCTGGAGTATGTTGCACTTTTGGTTTCGCAGTAACAAGAGGATCCCAATTCCCGTTCTGTGTGTCTGCCGCCGCTTGAGCGGATTCTTTGGCTTCTCTTCGTGTCACGTCACGTGTGTGCTTCGAGAGAGGCGGCATATTTGAAAAAAGCTCAGGGCAATCGCTTGAAACCCTGCCCAGTCCTCTCTGACAGTTCAGAGTCTTACTGCAATGCCTACAATTCAATGTCTTAGAGTTTTGCTCTGATATAAGTTCTGGGAGGTAGTGGCCAGCCACGAGTGCTCGCGGCACCAGCTACAGCAATCCCTGGGTGGCGGCATCCACTTCTGCTACCAAGGCGGGCTGGGAAGTGGCCCGGGGCCTGTGGATTTGGACCTGTCAGGCATGGCAAGACGGGCTCTGGCAGTCAGCCCCCTGTGAGGCTTCATCGCACATGAGCAGGCAGCAGATGCTGGGTACAGCCGCGACACTTGCGCCGCACAGACGACGTCGGTACATGGAAAGAGTTGTACTGCTAACCTTGGAATTTGTCTTGCCTTCACGAACAGCCTTCCGGCACATGCCATTGACGCCCCCGATCGATGGAGTAAGAATGTCTCAACGGGAACCCTGCCACAAATCGTGCTTCCCGAACTTTACAGGTCCGTATTGACTTCTCAAGGGAATCGGGCTTGCACCACGCGTCCGGGGACACAGAACCGTCGGTCCTGCGACCTCTATACACGTGCACTCAGCCCGAAGTTTCGTCAAACTTGCCGCGTTCTGAGGACGGCCTCGAGAGCCCTTGGGCTGTCTTGGTTTGCCGGGTGCTGGTTGGCAGGCAGGGCGCTTCCAATCACCGAGGAGTTCCGGGGCCACGGTGCGGGAGTTCGTGCCTTATTCTTCTGTTGCGTAGGTTCCTACATTCGTTGTGCTCAAAAGAGCTTTTTTCAGACTCTTATCACATAGCCTGGCCCGGCCAACAGCAGGCCATTGCGACACAGCGGCCGCCGTGGCGGCCCGCGGCTCCAGCGTGACTGGGAAAGCGGCCGCTTCGGAAGCCTCCTCCTTGGCCGCCGACTCAAAAAGGGGTCGAGTATTAAAGACATGCCATAAATGAGAGTTGTTCTAAACCCTCGCCTCTTGACCGTAGAGTAACCGCACAATTTAATATTTTGATGCAGGTTTAGGACTTGCTCCAAAACCGGCATGGCGCTTTATCAAGGCTTCAAGGTGGAAATGTGTTTAAAACCGTGTGCGCACAAACACGCAAGGGCGAAGCGCAAGGCGATTTTCGATTTACCGGCTGCAACCATGATAAAGCACAGCCCCCATACATCTACATGCAGAAAACTCAATTCGATCGATCGGTCTATCGACCTATTTATCAATCTAGCTATCTATTTATCAACCTATCTATCTAGACTCTATCTATCTAGAGTCGATCGATCGAAAAATCTACCTACCTAGCTACCTAGCTACCTAGCTACCTAGCTACCTAGCTACCTAGCTAGCTAGCTAGCTAGCTACCTAGCTACCTAGCTACCTAGCTACCTAGCTACCTAGCTACCTAGCTACCTTGCTACCTAGCTAGCTAGCTAGCTAGCTAGCTAGCTAGCTAGCTGCCTGCCTGCCTGCCTGCCTGCCTACCTACCTACCTACCTGCCTACCTACCTACCTACGTATCTATCTATCTATCTATCTTCTTTTTGAATCTCTCTATCTCTCTATCTATCTATCTATCTATCTATCTATCTGCTTATCTGTCTATCTATCTAGCCATCCGTCTCTATTTTTCTTATCTTCTCTTATCTTATCTATTTCTTTCTATTCATTTCATTTCTTATCGTATCTTTTCTGTTCTATCTGTTCTGTCTATCCATCCATCTATCTATCTGTCTATCTAGCTATATATCTGTCTATCTGTCTATCTATCTATCTATGCTATCTAAAGTAAACTACTCTCATCTAATCTAATTTATCCATCCTTCTACCTACCTATCTATCTATCTTTCTATGTCATCTAAACTAAACTAATCTAATCTAGTCTAATTTATCTATCTATCTACTCATCCATCTATCTATCTATCTATCTATCTATCTGTCTATCTAGAATCTGTCTATCTATCTCTCTATGTGTCTATCGATCCATCCATCTATCTATCTACCTACCTATCTATCTACCTATCTATCTATCTATCTATCTTTTTATCAGTCTATCTATCTAAGGATGTGTGTGTGTGTGTGCGTATATATACGCTTCATTATATGCTCATTAAAAAATATGTATAGTTTGTTTTTAATACTCGGTGTATGTATGTACATATGTATGTCTGCATGCATGCATGTGCGCATGCCAGTGTATGGAATTTTGGACGAGTTTGCGCCACCCCCCTTGAGTCAAGAATGCCTGGGGTCGGAGTCGGGAATGCCCCAGCCCTAATTCGGGAACAGCAGAGTCCCGAGTCAGGAACAGCAGTCCGCAGCCGGCTCAAACACAATTCGGAACAAGCACTCTGGCAATGCTCAGAATCGTACCCAAATCAGCAGGAACACGCCTAGCCTAGTTGACTGCAACCTTGGCACATTGAGCTGGCCCCGGCCTGTTTTCTTGACCCCGGAGCCTCTTGTGCCCCCCCGAGGCCCTCCGCTGCAAGCACTTGTTGTTCTGTGCCACCACCTAATATTCTAACCCCCGGAGCCTGCTTTCTTGCCCCCGAATGCCGGCATACGGATGATTGGGATGATAGGGGTGACGGGATGAAAGAAACGATGGGGATGATGAGGATGATCGGGATGAAAGAGATGACGGGGATGATAGGGATGACAGGGATGATGGAGATGCTGGATATCATGGAGATGATGCCGATGAGAGGGATGCCGGGGATGATGGGGGTGACCGAGATGCTGAAGAGGATGACGATGATACTGGGGATGATGGGTATGCTAGGGATGACGGGGATCATAGGGATGATAGAACTGCCGGGGATGCTGGGATGATAGAGAGCACGGGGATGATAGGGATGACAGCGATGATGGGGAGGATAAGGAGGATGGGGATGACAGGAATGACGAGGATGATGAGGATGAGGGGGAGGATAAGGACATGGAGATGACAGAGATGATGGAGAAGGTGCGATGAGAGGCATGATAAAGATGATGGCGATGATAGAGATGACAGGGATGATAGGGATACTGGGAGGAAGCCAGATGATGAGGATGATAGAGATGATGGCGATGACAGGGATGACGGAACTGATGAGAATAATAAAAATGATGGGATGACAAAGATGACGGGGATGATGGGGATGATGGAGATGACGGGGATGATGGGAGGATGGAGGTGATAAGAGATGGTGAGGATGCTGGGGAGGAAGGCTGATGAGGATGATCGAGATGATGGGGATGATAGGAATGACCGGCATGATGGAGTTGACGGGGATGATGGGGATGAAAAGGATGATGAAGATGATAGCGTGCCGGGGATATCCGGGGATAATCCAGATGTTGGGGATGAGCAGGATGATGGGGATGATACAGGTGATGGGGATGATACTGATTGAGATGATGCGGATGAATGGGATGACGCGGAGGATGGGATGATGAGGGTGACGAGGATGATGAAGATTTCTTCATGAGGAGAATGATAGGGATGATGGTGATGATGGAGATGATGGGGATGATATGGGATGATAAGGATGATGAAGATGCTGGGGATGAGAGCGATGATGGGGATGATAGGGATGACGGGGATGATCGGCAGAATAGAAATGACGGCGATGATGGGGATTATAGACGTGTTGGGGATGAAAACGTAGATGCTTCTGGACATCCGCGCAGCCTCCGGGAACATTATTTTAACAAACTGCAACTGTAAATTGTAAAACCTCTGACTCGGCCCTTCGAGCTTGGCACTCAAATTTTAAAGCCTCGGGGCGGTTGGGCCAGCTTGCGGAGATGCGGTGGCACGGTCTGATTCTGCCCCCCGGTTTGTCATTGAACACCGAAGAAGCCCCCGTGTGTCGGCTCCGCTGAGGCGATGAGACCTGTCGCATGGAGATCTTCATTCCACTGGATGCCATAGCAAGCGTTTACCCGGAATATGCCGCTTGATTGGGAGAGGACGAGTTAAGGAAGTGCATATCGAGGAATGTCTAGGACGAGTCTAGGATGCATCAAAGACGCCACGGCGGCACGGTGCCTCATGGCCTAATGCGCAGGGATGGGGATGGTAGCGATGCGAACAGCCAACAGCCATGTTCCAAGCCTGGAGACGAGCCCTTCGACCAGGTGGTGATCCTGCGGTAAGTCGTTCAGGCCATGTCGTTCAGGCCACGTGGTCGAAGGTGTTCCATTTCTCGACGGCAGGTTGTAGTTACTGTAGTTTGCCAGCCCACCATCGGTTTTGATACCTGGTCTGATGTGGGTCGTGTGCTCTGATTCGGAGATGCTTGACAGAGCTGTACTACTTCCGCCGCTCTGGCAGGTTGAACATTGCCTGGTTCCGAATCGCAGGGCCTTGTGCCACTTCGTGGCTGGTTGTTTTGTCTGGTCAATACAGGTTTCGCAGCACCAGCTGCAAATTCAGGCAAATTCATCCGTTGTCTTCACCAGTTCCAATGTACAGGCAGAGAGAAGAATTAGAGGAGTTCTCCTCTCTGGCAGGATACCTAGGCATGAGGCCGGGCGGGCGGCCTAGAAGGTCTTTCACCAACCTCGAACCCGGAAGTCCGATCTCGCGGCTTAGGCCTAACGGCCTCATGGATGGATTCAGCTACTTCGATGCCTCTGGGCATCTTGGGACCCCAAGCAGGGTCCCAGCTCCGACGGTCTGCTTCCCAAAGGGTCAGCTCTAGACGTCTTTTCTTCGAGGCTCTTTTCGCATTGGAGCCTTTCGAGTTAGGGCAAGCCCAGATGCCGCTTCAGATTGAGAAATGCCTGGGCTCGGAGGAGCTTGCGTTAGTGGTCCAGCTTTGTGCAAGGTTCGTTCTACAGCCGGGTTGTGCTAAGTTCACGAACTTTGACGATGGAGCCCTACGGAAAATACATGTCTCTTGTTGCTCCCGGGCTCAAGCTGATCTTCAGGCAGAGCATGGCATCTCGGTGTAGTGAGCTTTGTTCAGATCCCCGCGGCCCACTGTTGACATACTATGTGCAGTCCCCTACCGTCGGCTCAACAGTTCAGACTGGACCTCACACGATCTTTTGCGTTCCAACGCTTCAGCGCGTAACATGCTGAAGTCGGTGCACAGTCTCAGCACCACCTTGGGCCTTCATCCGGTGACATGGCTGGCACCTCTGCTGAATTAAGGCTGCGACTAGTCCGATCGTACTGCCTGTGTTTGCTTCAGGATTGGGTCTATGGGAACACGACCGTCTTTCGCTTTCCCGGCACCGAAGGACTGAGTGTGCAAAGAAGTGGGTTTGTGTTACAACATTTTTGAGACAATGGTGGTCATATTCCCCTCCTCTGAATCCAAGAGATTTCCAAGAATGTGCTGTCTTGCAGGCCATGTGGCCCTCACAATTGACGACGGCCTTTGTCGCAATGGGGCTTCCAGCTCGATGATCGCGGAGGTAAGGCAGCTTCTGAAGGACGGAGCTTAAGGAGGGTGTCACAGTCTGTGTGGCGTCAGTCACGTCGTTGGTTGAGTCAGGAACATGGTGCCAAAGCGACCTTTTTCCTTTGCTCCGACTATGTGAACGGATTTGAAGACGATGCAAAAGAGCTTTTGGCAGATGGTCACGAGTTCGCCAACCACTGTTGCGACCTCGGTGTTTTTGGCCACATGAATAGTTGGATCATGGTAGGGTGTGCCTTTCACGAGCTTCAGTGTGGAAGCAGAGAGTGCTAAAGAGCGTCAGCATGACAGCGCAAAAGGCCCTTCGGACGGGGTGGACTACTACAACATGTTGCCGGAGCAATTCGAAACGGAACTGCTGAAGACCTCTCAGAAGATTCAGGAGTCTCGGGCACTTTGGGCATGTTGTCAAGCACTTCGCTGGAGCAACTACGACCGTTTCTGCTACGTCCAGCTAGAGCCAGTGTTAGCGATGCAGCTCCAGGACGGACATGTTAGTTTGTAGGCATCCCTCCAGAAGGAGGTGAGTGGGAATGTTCCCCGCTGGTTCCGTGCACCTCAAGGAAGGCACCTCGCAGAATTGGTGGAATTGTTTCTTTCGTGAAGCGCAGCGGGTGACATGGACGGCAGCTTGTGATTGCTCTTGGATCAGCCACATGTGCCCTAGTAGTCGTGATGCAGGTACTCTGGCACCATGCATGGGGCCGTATCGAAGCACGGCATGCACCACGCCCTGGGCGACTGCTACTGCGACGACTGGGCCGTTGAGGAGGGTTTTGCAAGATATACTTGTTATCGAGACGTGAGTTCCACCGATTGGCCGTGGTGGACTTAGACGTAGTAGTAGTAGTAGTAGT